CAAAGTTAAATAAATAATAAATCAAAGATAATAATAAGCAAAAGATTATTTAGAAATATTAATTAATTTCTATATTTTTTATTACTTTCAAAATTACTATTCAAATTTTTGTTATTCTATATTAAATTACATCTGTTTAAATATATGTAAATATAATACAGATCTATATAATGAATGACATTACTTAAAAATAATTATAAGATTAATTTGGAAGATATGTAATACCAAGAAATGATAAGTGTAATATTAATTTAATCTAAGTAATACAATTTAAATTAAAGTGACATTAGCACTATATTAATTAATATTAAATGAAATTAATTTAAAATAGAATGAATTTAGATCTAATAATATTATATTAAAATAAATAATGTAATATTAAAAAATTAATTGATATTTTTGATAAATTATGTGTAAATTAAATAAATTAAATAATTAAAAATAAAATTATAAATATAAAAATATAAAAAAAATATAAATAATTATTAAAATTATGTCACATGATATTTTATATGTGATCCAAAATATCAAATAGTAACAATATATTATAAAATAACTAATTATATATATATTTAAAATGTGAAAATTTATGAATAATATCTAATATAGAAGTTCTACCAATCTATAAAAAATATTATAATTAGTATTTGTAATATTCTTTGTACTTGAAAAATTATATATAATCTATAAAAAGTTATAAAAAATCTATTATTTTTAATAAATATTGTAATTTTTTTATTTTAATAAAAAAAATATATATAATTATCTTTTTAATATTTTAATCAGATTATATTTGTTTTTTTATATTTTTTATATTTTTTGCTTGTCTTAATTTTGTTATAATAATATAAAATTAGAACAAGAGTAATAAAAATACTTAATTTGTAATTAAATTATGAATAATTATAGTAAAACTTGAAAATAAAAAAAATGTTAAAGTATTTATTACTCTTATTTTAACTTTATTTTTCTAATATATTATTATAATAAATTTGATATAAATACTTATTATTTTCTCTATTTATTTTACTTAAATTATTTTATTATTTTCTTTGTTTATTTAATAATTAAAATTATAATTGTTATAAATCACATAATCTAAAATTAAATAATTTGATCCAGTTTTTAAACTGATTTAAATTAACTTATTTTAAATTATATGAAAAGATATTATTAATAAAAGTAAAAAGTGAAAATAATAATTCTCTAAAATATAAATACCTAAAAAAATATTATATAAGAATTTCTTAATATTAAAAGATTTTTTTAATTAATTCAATATTAGCACTTTTATTTATAAATCAAAAAGAATTTGCTTACTTTTGAAAAATGTAAAAAAATTTTTGTACTTTTTTTAAATTTCTTTTTATACTTTTATTTATAGTTAAATAAGTTAAAATTAATAATTGATTATTAAATATAATTTGTAAAAATAAAGAAATAAAAATATATAATAATATATATTACTATCATTTCTAGTTCTTATATATGAAAATTATTAATAATAACTGATTTACAGCAAATTTTAAATAAGAAAGATATAATTAATAATAATAGATAGTTGATAATAACAAATTAATAAGAATATAAATATAAAATAAATATTAAATATATTTAAGTAATAATAAACTAATATTAAAATTAAATATATACTATAAATTAAAGTTAAAAGCATATTATAAAAACAAAAGATAATGTGATGATAATTGAAAATGAATAAAGATAAAATAAAGATAAATAAAGAGAAGACAAAGAAAATAATAAAAAAATAATAGAAAACAAGAAAATAAAATAAACAAAAATAAAACAAACAAAAAAAATAAAAATAAAAAAATTAAAACTAGAATATAATCTTAATTTATTTCAAGTCAATTTCATATTATATATATAATGAATTTAAATTATATTGATCTATATATTATTTATATATATATTATAAAGAGAAATTAATAAAAGTATAGATCTATAATATATTAAAACATGATAATTATTAGAAAGGAATTTGTATAAAATCTATATATTACTAATTAAATTAATATAATAAGAGATAAAAATAAAATATTAATAAGATTTAAAACATAAAATTACTATAAATTAATTGGTTAATTAAATAATAATAAAATTTAAACTAAAATAGTAAAGAATAATTAAATAAAAATATAAATTATTGCTATTGAATAAAAATAAAAAAAATATAAAATATAAAAAAAATAAAAGATACTAAAAAGAATATTAATGCACTTTTAATAAAAAATATATATTAAAAAGTATTAATTTATTATATATTTTAATTGTTATTAATTATTCTTAAAATTCTAAGAACCATGAAATCTATTAACTATTAATTGTTAACTGTTGAATATTAAATTTTTTTACTAGTTAAAATATATGTTGTATTTATAAGTATTTGATAATCATTTGGAATAATTATTTGAAGTGATTATTTGAAGTAATTATATAAAGTAATTATGTGTAATAATTATTTGTAATTATAAAAAATATTTAATTATAATAATATTTTAAACTAATAATTACTAAATTAAAAAATAATAAATAATAATATAACTATATAATTACTAAATAATATATATAAATTATTTTTATTAATTTATTATTTTGCTACTAGTTTTAGAGATTTTTATATTTTCTATTATTTTTAAAAAATTTATTAATTAAAGAATTTTAAAAATAAATATAATAATAACTTGAGATATTTTTAACAAGAAAATAATTTTATTAACAAATTTTATTTAAAAGAGATATAATCAAATTTCTTTATAGTTATTACTCTCAAAAAAGCAAAATTTAATAACTATAAAAAGAATATAAATAAGTATAATTATAGAAAATTTTGATTATATATTTTCATTTAGAAATACAAAATCTAAAAAATCTATTTATTTTTAACTAAAAAATCTATTTATTTTTAACTAAAATATATATTATATTTATAATAAATTATTAGATCTAATTTGATTATTACACAATTAATTTTTATTATTTTTATTATTTTAATTACTTTGATTATTAATATTATTAATTTTATAAATCTATTTAGTTATAATTATTAATTGTATTACTTTTTAAATTTTTATTGTTTTTACTGCTTTAATTAATATATTTGTTGAACACAATTATAAATAGTTCAAACTCTAATAAATAAAATTAAAACTAATTTTAAATTAATAAATATAACAAAATATTATCCAATTAAATTTATAATATGAATTAATTAATAAAATAATAACTAAATATTTATATTATAATAATGTATAATATATAAAATATATAATATTAAAAAATTGATACTATTTCTAAAAATATATATATTATTATAATTATATTATAAAAAATATTAATTTTATAATTTATAACAAATTATAAAATAAAATTTTATAAAGAACTTAAAATATCTTTTTAATTATATTTTATATTATTAATTATTATATTTTTTTATTTTTTTTATTTTTATTTTTTATTTGTTGATATTAATTTTTTTATCTATTTACTTATTTATTTTTTTGATAAATATATTTTAACCAATTATAAATTTTTGAATATATATATATATATTTATTTTTCTTTTTGTTTTCTAATTTTTATATTTAGCAAATTGGAATTTTATTTTTAATTAGTATATTTATTTTTTATATCGATATTCATGAAAAATAAATATATAAATACAAATTGTAGTTAAATTTTGACTCGACATATTGGAACTTGAAAATAAATAATATAATAAAACAAATACCTTTTAATACTTAAAATATTTTATCTTTCTCTTTTAACTATATATTTCAAAATTTGTGAACAAGTAATTTTGAATTATATTAAGTTGATTAAATATTGATATTAAATTATTTGATTAGTTTTTTAATATTTTTGTTATAAATTATTTAAAATTTCTCAATTAAAGATATCATAATTTCTTTCTTGTAAGAAGAATGAAATAAAAGAGTTTTTGTTTTTTTGTTAATTGTTTAGCTCTGAAACATATTTATATTAATATAGAGAATTAGTATTTTAATTAATATTTTAATTAGCATATTAATTAGAATGATATTTATTTTAGCATATTAATTAGAATGATATTTATTTAGAATTCAAATAACACTTATATTATTTTCTTTTTTATTTTATTTTCCCTTCAAACTATACAACTTCAATAAAAAGTAATATAGAATTTTAGATATATTTTCCTTATTATTTAATTCCCTCTCCCAATTCTCATTCACATTTATTAACTAATTTCACAATTAGTGAAAAATGTGTAACAATATATTTGTATTGTAAGCAGCTATAATAAGCTCTAAAATCTTCAAAGATAATAAAGTGATTACGTCAACTTTATTTACTGACATGTTGTGACTAACTATACATAATGATAGACAATAAACAATGCAAATCTGATATTCTAGAAAAAAATTGTTTTTATCAAACAAGTTGATAAAAAAGAAATTGTTTCATTTTCACCCACTTATCATTACATATATATAACCATAACGATAACTATAACGATAACAAAAATAAATACATTTTCTTGGTGACTTTCCCTATAAATAGAACTCAATAAATTTTTCTTGGCACAGAAATTCTAAATATAACTTATTTACTTGTATGTATATTTGACGTGAGTAACGAGAAAATAGAAGACAAATAAATACGTATACATATAACGCCAACAAGTTATCGTTATTCAATTCTTCTCTTCAGGTATCTTTTCGCCAAATAAAGCTATCAACTTTTACGTATCTTTTTTGTTGTCGCTCATAGAGAGTTTGATACGATCCAAATTAGTATCGGCTCGACGCATTGTGCGTCAAACCTACTGTTTTTTTGAATACATCATCAAACTTTATTTTTTATTCTTTTTTACAATCTCATTTTTACCTATTCATTCAAAAAAATCACCAGAGAAGTTGGAGTCACGAACAGGTCACCTCTTATATCGACTACGGTCCAAGTCCAAAAGAAATTATTCCACAGATAGTCTCGATGAAATGACTACGGTGCCACCTCCACAAGCATTTCAGCCTCCTCGTAGAGATGTTCCTACACCTAGCGTTGGCGTTAACACGAGAAGATCTTCAGGAACAGTCTGTATGTTTGTACTTGTGCAGCATTTACTTTAAAAAAAATATTGACGCGGTTTTTTGAAATTATCTTAATTTTTAACTGGTTCTTAATGTATTATCATTAGCTGTTGAAGAGTCTTTGAAAACTTATCAACTATTGGAAGCCCTGCGAGCAAGTAAATATTAATGATGTCTCAGTTATATAATTCGAAGAGCTTTCCAATATGAAGAATATGAATACTATTGATTTGACTTTATATTTTAGATGATACGGGATCCCTCCAAACTCTTCTTGCATATTACCAACCTCCTCCATTGTCACCAATTATTAATAGCAACTCAACACTTAGTGGAACTCCCCCGTCTTTATCATTAAATCATACACCTTCACCATTAATACTTGCTGTGCAATGTGCAGCAACTCCTACGGTTGAATATGTACTTTCGCATTTACCACCTGGTTTTGATATTAATCAACGTGATCAATACGGAAATACTGCATTGCATTATGCTGCAAAATCAGGCCGTGTAGATGTAGCGGGTTTTTTATTAAAACAGAAGAACATCAATGATACTTTACTAAATAACGAAGGAAAACAAGCTGTTGATATGGCTAAAACTCCGGGAGTTGCCGAATTACTTAAAGGTTTTTATTTTATTGAAAATATATTTTGGTAATCTTACAAATATTATAAATATTTTTTTTATTTGAAAAGCAAATCGCGCCCAGTACGTAGAACGTATAACCGCACTTTTTCGACAACACGTAGCCACCTCTGACCTCGAAGCACTCCGAAATTTTTTTCAGGATCCTCGAGCTGCAGCTTTAATTGACATAAATCATCAAGATTGTGGAACGGGAGCTACGTTACTACATGATGCTGCACGCAAAAAAGATATAGAAATGGTTAAATTTTGTTTAGATCATGGTGCTGATATAAATATTCGAGATAGAAAAGGAAAATTACCGATAGATATTACGAAAGAAGAAAAGATAAAAAGTTTATTAAAAGAAGGTTTGTTTTATTGTTTTCGTCTTGTTGTATTATTTAAATGCTATTGTGATAATTATGGTTTGAGGATAATCTTATAAAATGTTTACAATTTAATAGTGACCCCTAATTCAAGCTTAGTTATTACTACATCACCCAATCAACCACCCAAGCTAAGAGGGTATTTACATAAATGGACTAATTATGCCGGTGGTTACAAAACAAGATGGTTTGTTTTGGAGAACGGTAAGATTTTTGTCCATCTTTTCTTTTATTCTTAATCTGCTCTGCTAATAATATTTTGCAATTTTTTATAGGAATCTTGTCGTATTTTAAGAATCAGGATGATGCAGGAAATTCTTGTCGTGGATCAATAAATATGAGAATAGCTACAATATCGAGAGATTCAGCAGATCGTCAACGATTTGATATTCTTGGGAAAGGCTCAGTACGTTATCATCTACGAGCCAATCACCATACTGAAGCAGAAAAATGGATAGGGGCTCTACAGCAATCAACGCAATGGAAGAGTTCCAGAAGAACAAGTCTTCAAGATGAATCATCTGGTTCGACAACACAAGTGAATCACGATGATGATGGATCTATGCGAGGTTTTCGTAGAGCAGATACTTTTTCTTCAATGAATCGGGAACGATCACGTTCACCTTCTGATGACTCAATTGAGGTTGACACTATTCCTCATGGGGACACGTATCAATTGAAAATTAGCTCTGCTAGAGCACAAATGGAGTTGCAATCGCAATTATTAGAATCCGTTTTAACCACATTGCAGTCACTATTGTCACCTGATTCACGCCAACAAGTAGTAGTTGATGCATTTAAAAAATCTCATGGACCATTACAAGTTCTTGTGGATGATGTTGTCCGTATGTCAGAAGATCGAGACGCGTACTGGCAAAAAAAACTCGAAAAAGAACTAGAAGCTAAAAGACTATGGGAAGAAAGTATGCGTGGCTTTGCAATTGAACAAGCTCAAATGGAAGAAGTCATCCTAGAGAATGTAAAAGAGCATAAAAGGCTGAAAAAACTTTCAAAGCTCCATGATGCTCAACATATGGTTTTGCCACCTTCAAGTAATAGTCCTGCAGAAGTTAAACCAGATTTCGCGGAAAGATCAATGCTACTGCCAATTCAAACAGACAATCCAGATCTTGAAAATTTACCAATAATTGACGGTGTTCCTCAAATTGAAGAAACAACACGAAAGCATAGTTCCACAACCTCGTTAACTACTGAATTTTATGGTTCAGATGACGAATTTTTCGATGCAATGGATGGTAATGTAGAAGTTGAAGAAGTAGTTATGGAACAGTCGCCAACAGAGTTAACTGAAGATGGTGGGCTTCAGCCATACGTAGCCTCCGCATATTCAGGATATCCAGAACATGTACGCACACGGCTTCCACTCGACCAGAAATCTTTACGACCAGATGTTTCTCTATGGTCGATTCTTAAAAATTCAATTGGAAAAGATTTAAGCAAAATCACGTTACCTGTTTACTTTAATGAACCTACCTCGATGTTACAACGTATGGCTGAAGATATGGAATATAGTGAAATTTTGGATATTGCAGCCCGACAAAAGGAAAGCACTGATCGAATTTTATATGTGGCTGCCTTTGCTATGAGTAATTATTCGAGCACAGTTGGCAGAGTAGCAAAACCATTCAATCCTCTACTGGTAGGTAATTATTTCTAATTTAAATTTACAAGCTAATTCTTTTATTTTGATTTTTAATAACAAATTTACTAAGTTCTTAGCAATTTCTTTTATCAAAAACTTAACTTTATCTGTTTACCTAATTTTGTCTGTTATTTTTTTAGGGAGAGACATATGAGTATGTCCGACCAAATAAAGCTTTCCGATATATATCTGAGCAAGTATCCCACCACCCAGTAAGTTGGATTTATTTTGTTTTATTATTCATCATGAAACTATAGATATTTATTCATTATTTTTTTCTTTATCAGCCAATAAGTGCATGTTATTGTGAATCTCCTAATTACGATTTTTTTGCAGAAGTAGATGTGAAATCAAAATTCTGGGGAAAATCATTTGAGATTCTTCCAAAAGGAGTTTCTCATGTCAATCTAAAAGTTCCAAATGAATATTGGCCTAAAAATAAGGAACGAGATCCAAACTCATATATAGCTGTAGGCAATCCGAATGCATTTTCTGAACATTATTCATGGAAAAAGGTTACAACCTGTGTGAACAATTTGATCGTCGGTTCTCCTTGGATAGATCATTATGGGGACATGGTCATAGTAAATCATATAACGGGAGACAAATGTGTCTTGACATTTAAAGCGCGTGGATGGCGCGGAAAAGATGCATTCGAGATTCGAGGTTCCGTTACCGATGCAAAAGGAAACGAAATATGGGAAATTGCTGGAAGATGGAATGAAAGATTAGTTGCTCGAAGGAGTGGTGGTGCACATTATGCGTCAGCATCGGAAAAAGATCTGGGAAGCGATGCGGCAGCTGCATCTGCTACTGAACTCGAAGAGGCAATAAGTAATGCATTGCCACACACTATTGCAAATCCATCACATCGACGCGCAATTTTGTTGTTATGGAAGCGCGCACCCCTACCAGAAGAGCCTATCCCGTTTAATTTAACACCTTTTGCGGTTACATTAAATGATTTCCCAGAAACATTAAAAGCCTGGGTTGCGCCCACTGATTCACGGTTAAGACCAGATCAACGCGCAATGGAAAGTGGACAATATGATTTCGCTAGTTCTGAAAAAGTCCGCCTTGAAGAAAAGCAACGGATTAAGCGACGAGCACGAGAACGTGGTGACACGGAAGATTTCAAACCTCGTTGGTTCATTCGAGATACAGAACCTGATACAGGTGAAGGTTATTGGCGCTTTAACCACCAATACTGGCAAGAGCGCGAGCGAACGGGTAAAGAAAAAAGTGAGGGAACTGGGTCTGGTAAATGGGACGTAGAAGATGATGATATATTTTAAAGGGTTCCATGGTAGACTAAATTTTGAAACACTTCTAATTTATTTCACTAAAAATATTTACTTATATAAATATAGTCATAATACAAACATTAATTAATATCTATAGAAGAAAAAATCGATTTCTATTAGAATTTTATTCATCTGCTGCAGAACGCGTGTGCTGCAATTTAGGCCTCGCTTCATCCCAAGGACCATGTATTTCACTATTTAAAACAAGGTTAAACAACTTGTATTAATGAAAACGTGTAAAATTTTTAAAAATACATACTTTTTATATTTCTGGATCCAAATAAGCCAAAATGGACAGCAAAAAGTAATAAATGTGTTCCCAAAAATATACAAGATCACGATGGCTTTAGAGATACGTAGAAACAATGCTGTCGCAAGAAAAAACAGCAGACACGTTAACGCCACATTAAAATTTGCAGATAAACTCTGATCCGAATAGATAAAAAAAAAGAGGCGGCATCAGTATTTTTTCCATTGATACATATGGATTCTTTAACATTTTTTACCTTTGTATATCTTCTAAATATAGGGAAAAGTGCAAACCATTCAACCGCAAAGGACATTAGCCCGAACACGTGTGAATTAGAGGGTAATCGCGATGCTAAGAGCACAGAAGCAAAAATCGCCGCATTGGTTGATAATGAACCTGGAAATCTATATAGAACATATTTTTTCGATTAGAAATATTATATACAATTTTGGAGAACTTCATAATTAGAATTTACTTGATATTTGTTCGATTTCCCGATCCGTAATCATGAAACAGCATATTGGCCAGAAATAGGATGACTGTTAAAGCCCAAATAGTATCACTACTAGTATCCTTGGTCAATGTTTTAAGAATCGGCGATAATCCAAGCAGCGTCGCAAAAAATAGAATAGCTCCTTTTGCAGTTTGCCTTCCTTATTTTAAGGAAAAAATCCAAAATAAATTCTTCTATGCAGAAACAAACCATTCTAGCGACAAAATATTGACAGATTTTTCCATTACTTGTGTATTCATAGGAAGGATCAGTCTTTAATATGCTTAAATCCCAAAATATATATCCGATTGAAGTGAAAATTGTTCCAATAACAATCAGATTTTGTGCGGATAGCATGTCCAAATAAAGATATATAAAAACAGCTATAAATATCACTATACTGCTAATATGCTGTGAAATTACCCCCGACTCCATTACAACCGTCCAATAATCATATGTTCTAAGGTTGGCTAATAAAATAGGCACATTATTAAAATTTTAACAGATAATCAAAAAACAAAATCACGATGCAAAGAAATTCACCATTTTTCTGTAACTCTTCAAGAAAAGAGCTGTCTACATGATTATCCGGATATTCTTGTTTTACCCATAATAATTTACGCCAAGGATTTTTATTATTCACATTGTGATTTTGTGCCTATGATAAAATTAAATCACCACCAGTATTTCAGAGGTTCAAATAATGAATATCAATTATATTACCAAAACTTTATTTGCCCTATTTCGATACACGAATTCTTTATTAATGAAGAAAAATCTAAGAGAAAGCTTATATATAAACTTGTATTTTTTACCTATTAAAACCACAATGAATACATATTCCTTCGTCTGCACGAAATTGATATCCATCGGCGGGACAAAAATTTATCGAGATGTTGGCCATTTTGCATAAAAATTCTACAAATGAATAACTAATAATAATCGGCAAAACTACACATGTCGATCAGGTCACATTTAATTATTATTTGATGTCTGAAAGCCTTATAAAAGATACTCTAGATATTGATATAGAACGAAGACTAATTAAACTCGAGAGTGAAGACCAATTAAACTCTCGATATAGTGAACTTGAATTCAAAACAGTCTATAATACATCTCTCTCGTTATTAATAAACTCTCGATATAGTGAATTTTTGAAAAAAAATTTCTCTAATAGCCCGGACACATTCACTATATTGAGAGTATCTTTGTAGTTTTTTTTCTATTATAGCGATAAAAAATACATGAATACTAGTTGTAATTTCGTTTAGTTTACATTCGTTCATCTTTTTTATTTATATTAAATACATTCTCAAGCTGAAATTTCGACATATACTTTTATAACATAACTATTTTGTTTAATCTATCTTTTTCAGACGGCAGGCGAAATATCTCTGTGAGAGCTTGAACAACCCGCCTTCGAAGGCAATACCATTCATAATATTTATTCTGTTTGTATTTTTTTTGGGTTTTATCTGAAAATAATTTGATTTTCCATCGATGGTATCGTCGGGATCTTATTTCCCTTCCTATGAAGTGTGAATTGATTCAGAAACATCTTTTTGCCAATCCTTACCACCACAGCAGATAAAATAGTAAAATAAATAATAAAATACTTATATAAGAAATCTTGCTTAAACTTCTACATTTATTCGTTATTACATCTCAACATTGATGCAAGAAAGAAAATGCCATCCGATGATATTCAAATTTATACGAAATCCACTGATCATTTATTGTTCTACCTTATTTCCAGTACTTTGTCAATAGCAAACAGCCGCAATTTTCACTTAAAAGATGTCTGACTTTGAAGATAATCCCTTTGCTGAGCCTATTGGAGATGAGGACTATGAAGAAGAAGAACAGGTAGAACATGGATACAAAACACAAAGCGAACGCATACCGCCGCCTGCACAAGATTTTCCTAATGTTTGCTGTCAAATCGGTGCATTAATTCGCTGTGGAGAGGAAGAAAATATTCTTATAACGAATGCGCAAAAGACAAACGAAGGAAGTGGAAGTAGTTACATTACTTATACAATCCGGTATATGGTAAGCCTAGAATTTTAAACAAGCTCAGTGAACTTCACTGGGCATTAATTCTTAAAGGAAAATTCGAAATAGAACTTTAATTTAATAAAAATCGTTGTTTAGGATCAAGAAGTAAAACGGCGTTATTCAGAATTCGAGTCATTGCGAAAGAGTCTAACACGATTATACCCAACAGTCATTATTCCTCCAATACCAGAGAAACATTCTATTAGTAATGAATCGTTTTTTAATTAATATTCAATAATTTTCTTACAACAGCATTAAATTCTTTTATCTGATTCATAGCTGACTACGCGACCATGCAAAGCAAGGCCAAGGAAGATGTGGTGATAATTGAAAAGCGTAAGAGGATGTTGCTAACATTTTTAGTTCGGATTTCAAAACATCCGCAATTATCGAGTAGTCATGTTTTTCACCGATTTTTGGAGAGTGGCGTATCATGGGTAAACATAGTAGTTAAATCACGTTAAAAATTCAACAAACGCGTATTTACGAGATCTAAAATTATTACTCTGCATTATGCATATAGAATGAAGTTCTCAATTCTCCACCATTGTCGACACTGCCAAAAAATATCCTTCAGGTGTCCCCGACTAACCTTCCATCGAGTAATCCCTCATCTCCGGTTTCCACAACAAATCCCCTTCTACCCACACCCAACCCCTCTCAGTTATTGAGAAATCCGGATCAACGGTTTATCGACTCTGAATTGTATACTAATAAATTTGCTAATCATATGAGCCAAAATTTAGAAAAAACGAACCGAAGAATATTAAAAAGATTGAGTGGTAATTCCATAAATTTTGAAACTACATTATTCACAAAATTAATTGCATAAATTTGCATGATTATAGATTTATCCAATGATTATGCTGAATTGGGTGCAGTTTATAATGGGTTTAGTTTAATTGAATTTGGTGGTCTAGCTCATTCAATTGAGAAGGTTGGCCAGGCAGTTGATTCTTCCTTTATGACTACCAGAAATTTGGTACGAAAAAATAATAGAGTTTTTAAGAAGCTAAACAATCTACAAGATTTGTTATAATTGAAACTGTGTTTTTGCTTAGATTACAGCCCTTGAATCCGAATTTTCTGAGCCTCTTCAAGAGTACTCGCAATTCGCTCAGATGATTAAACAAGTGCTACGATATCGACATATGAAGCATTTACAGTTGGAGCTCACAGAAGAAACTCTTGAAAAGCAAAAAACTGCTCATGAAACTCTAACAAAATCAGAGGAAGAGGCCAGAAGATTAGAAGTTGCTTTAAATCGAGCAACACTTGAAGAGAATCACTCTCGTACTAGTTTTGATAGCGAAGATGGAAATTTACATGAAGTTGGTGAAAATGGACGTGAAGATGATGGTCATCATCATCAGAATGGCGAATTATCAAATAGTGCTACGCTGAATCACACTAAAAAACGCAGTGGCTCGAAATTGTTTTCCGTATTAAGCCATACTATTCACGGTATAATGGACGTTGATCCAGAAGCCACCAGGAGAAGTAGTATTGGTAAAACAGCGGACTCCATAATCCAGGTATATGTTATAACATCAGTTATTTACCGTTAATTATTGGTACTTATTCATATTCTATGGACCTTTTAGCTTGAAGAAGCCTTAGAAACGTCTAGAAAAGATCTTAAGAATATATCCGGATCTATTCAAGAAGATTTAGATCGTTTTCAAAGACAAAAAGTACGCGATATTCGAGATATGCTTCTTGCATATGCAAAAATCCAAATTAAATGGTGTCAAAAGGTATACAATTTAATTGTTATTGCTATTTTATAATCCTATGCTAAAACAAACAAGAATTCTTACAAACTAAATTGATTTTTAGAATTTAACTAGTTGGGAAGAAGCTAAAGCCGAAATTGGAAAGATGCAAACGTAATATTTATAGAGTTGAGCTAACTAGCCAAACAAAATAGTCTAGGGAAAGAAATTCATTTGTTTACCTAGAATCTAATATAATTTATTATTTTTTATGATTATTATGTTACATTGTTCATAATAAGAAAACAATAATCGTCAATTTACATTATAATGATGCTACATTAATAGATTCAATGAGATTTCTGAAAAAAGGGTAAACTTGCTTTCTAGACCAAGATATATTCTTTTGTCGATAAAACCTGCAATCCTCATTCTCAGGATCAATAATTAAGGTTTCCAAACCGAGATCAGATTTCTCCATTTTCGAAATGAATTCTTGCGATTTTAAAAGATCGGCAAATGGATAGACAACCAAATCACGTTGAAATCCATGTTGAGGGTGAGTGTGAGTCGTCATTACGATAAGTAAATCCAATTTTCTCTCTGAGGCATAAGATGCTAATTCATTGATCGAAGTGGAAATTTGATCGCGCTTTAGCCAAGCTTGGACAGACAAAGAGACGCTACTTATGCCAATACGAACATCACCAATGACCCATTCTTTATAATCTTTACGCAATAGATCATGCGTTGATAAATGGGAAATATTTCGTCGTGCTTTTTGAATTTCGTTGTAATACTCTGCAATAAATGCATTATGATCGGAAATTTGCAGTGTGTTCAATAGGAAATTTGCAGCTTTCTGATCTTTCTCAGTTGTCCTCCCTTTGGAAACATCCAGACAAACTGTGTCGATGAGTATTGGAGCCAACAATAAATTTGCCAGTTTACGACCATGCCCATTTAATTGATCAGCTGCCCATACTTCAGGAAATGAAAGCACCACCAAAGAACACGCTGAACCTACGGGTTCAATCCATCGTGGTGATGCTGTCAAATATAATCCTTCGTCTTCATGATGATCCAATATTGCATCTACACAATTTGCAAATTTATCCCAAGGAGGCACCAGTTTATTGTGATCAACTAATACTATGTGCAATTCATTGTTTTTCATTAATCCTTCTAACACAACCTCGAGATCTTCTTTATATATGAACCGGTCGCTATCCATTTCATGACGACGAAACACGTATTCACATTCTGGTCGAAGAGTCAATTCGTCTTTGGGAATTTGGAGTACTGGCAAAAATATGCCTTTCTCAGGATTGTATTGTTGACTTAAGAAGGCTTTCTCAGGATTGTATTGTTGACTTAAGAAGGCATAAGCAATAGACGCTATGATAGAATCAAGATCTATCTTGTATAGCAAAACGAAATTCGTTACCTTAACTGAATTAATTGTAATATTAAATTTAAATCATAACGATAAATACCAGCCGATTCATTTCCGATAACAATAGAAATTTTTGTCTTAAATCCGGGATTACTGCTACTATTTTCAGTAACTTTTTCTAATAAAGTTAAAAAATCCATCACAAAATCAAGAGATTTAAAATTAATGCATCACTTTGCAAATCATGTCACTTGCAACAAAATAGTCACTTGTCTCACCTATTTATTGCGAACAGCTCGAAACAAACGAGTGTACCTGTACAATATTAAAATTCTATTTTTCTACCAACCACTCTTTCCTGCGATCTGTCCGAATTTACGTTCGAGAGTCTCCACACATACTCAATAAAAAAAGGAATAAGTGAAACTTTCAATTTCTTAAGTTTTTCAAGTATTTTTCCTGTTATTGGCTAAATGGGGGACGAGGACGGAGGTAAGGAGTGAGTACCATTAGATCTATATTTATTTGAAAAATCGATCTGATTATATTTCATATTCTTTTTCATTAGAAGATGTTTGTCGTGTTTGCCGCTGTGAGGGTACTGAGGAACAACCTCTTTTTCATCCTTGCAAATGCGCTGGAAGTATTCGATTTGTGCATCAAGACTGGTAATGAATCTCTTTATTATTGATTTGTATGTTATTCGGGAAACCTCCATAGTCAGTACTGACATTTTATATTCAGTTTAACGGAATGGCTAAAGCATAGCAAGAAAAAGTAAGCATTTTAGATATTCTGTTAAATTCGTCACTAAAAATTGTTTGTTATTTAACTTAATTTTTCTTAGACACTGTGAAGTTTGCAAATATCCCTTTTCATTCACGCCAAGTACGTAATTCATTTTCTGCAATTTCTTGGTTAAGAATGAATATACTGCGTCTCGAGCATATTCACTTTAAATATCAAGAGATCCACACGATACTCTTCATAAAGATGAATGCGTCGAGACCGTGGCATATATCTTTCTATGCAAGAATAATCCTTGAATCTGTTTAAAATCTTGATTAGAAAAAAATGAATTTATTGAATCAATAATACATCTCTTACGTACATAAATTATTATTACTATTATTATATTCGCAACAGTCTATGATCCACGAATGCCCGATTCAATTCCGGTCGTATTATTCTTACGACGAGGGCTTCGCCGTTGCTACGGCCTTATTAAAATCTGGATACGTGCTATGTTAGTTGGGACTGTCTGGCTCATAACTCTACCATACATCACAGTTTGGGTATGGAGATTCTATTTCTGGAGTGGAGACGGTCTCGCCTCGTTTATTTACAGAAGAGAGTCTATATCTGTTGGAACAGCAAATAATAATAGCACAATATCAGACGAAAAAAGTGCATTGGCGGTATTTTATGTGAATTTATTGAAATCTGCGTTATGGTATGCGCCTCCAGAAGCAGTAGAATTTGTCGAAGCGTACGGAGACTTCGCAAGGTAATGATAATATACAGGTGATGTTCAATGATTTTGCATCATAATCACGATTGACTTATTATTAACCTTTCTCGAGCAGCAAATTTTTCGCGGATACTTTTGAAGGTCAAATTATAACGTGTATTGTAGTTATTGTATTTGTTGCAGCCTTCTTACTAAGAGAATGGATAATACAAAATACTCCGCCCGAGGATGGACTAGAAAATGATGGAATGGAGATTGAGGGAATTGATAATGATCTGGAAAATCGTGCAGAGGAGAATGCTGAAAGAAGACTAATACCTGCCGCTGTACCTCCACCGCCGGCACCTGCTGATAACCAAAGAGAATTTGATTTACAATTACCACAATTACTTAATTTTGAGCCAAATTTGCAAAATATGCCACAACTACCACAATTACCCAATTTTGAGCCAATCCTTAATTTACCTAATGATCCGGGACCAAATAACAGGCCGTGGCCAGTGTTAAATATCCCCCCTGCTCCAGATCTATTACCTCAACCGCCACCACCAGCTCCTGATTCATACATTTTTAACGAAAGAAATCCTCAATTCCCAGAGAATTCATCAACTTATCGTGCACTGGAACAGCACAATGAGTCTGAACAGCTACTCGATCAAAACGGAGAAAACATCGATTCTTTTGCTCTAAGGCCCTCAGATAATCATATTTTTGATTCCTCGTTTTCTGCAACTTCATCATCTTTTAAAAACATTTATGGAGCTCCTGTATCTAAAGAAAATACTCAAAATGATACTGCCTCACCAGAATCACAATCTGCTAATCTTTTTTACTCTAATGATAAAAACATTTCAATTTCAGCGTTATTGACTGAGGTTGACAAAAAGAAAAAAGCTGAGAAAACATTGGGTTTTACTGATATGGACACTCATACTTTATCTGCAATGTCGTCGCAGAAAGCGTTGGATCAAGAAGAAATCAAGTCGAACTTTCTTTTCCCTTCGGATAACAAAAAGAATAATCACTCAAATCGACGAATAAGGCCAATAAAACAGATAAGGTCACGTACAAAAGCGTCGACTTTTAGCTCAAAGCCCCACTCGCAAAAGATAAACACTGCACACAGCTCATTGAAAAGTGATCCTATTGACACTTCCTCATCTATAAAAAGCGAGGCCCTTTTGCGTGGGGAGAACAGTTTGCAGGAATCAGAAGACTCCGAAGAATATGGTGATTCACCATTATCCTCGGAAAGTGAAGCTAGTAGTGAAGATAATAACAATGGCGAAACTGAAGATAACAGTGTTAGCGGGAAATCAATTAGCCCCTCTAAATTAATAGCCAATAACAGAAGTTTATATCATGTCAATCAGTCGTTTTCTGGTTTATCAGCTTCCAATTCTTCAAGAAACGTTGCTCGTCAAATGAAGTGGGCATCCGATGTAGCGCAGTCTCCATCTAGGCGAAAATTGCTACAAAAATCTTTAGATCCAAATTTAATACCATTTTTGCCCGAATCCAACTCGTCAAATTGGATGAAGAATGAAAAACCCTGGTTTGAGGCTTCATCTTCAAGTTTGACGAATAGGCATGGCGGGCTGGACGAATCAAGTAGTTGGGAAGAAGTTAATCCAAATATTATATTTGAAGATGATCATTATAATAGAGAAGAGGAAGATGACGAGGAAGATGACGAAGAAGAAGATGAATATGAAGAAGGCGAAGAAGTTGATGACGAAGATGAAAGCGAATCTGACGATTCGCAGATACTGGAAGACGAAGACGATAATGAAGCAGATGATGCGCGGGATCCTGAGGATATATTAAATGGTAAGTATAAATACTTAATCTTTCAAAGAATTGCAATAACATATAGAGGTAATACTATAATTGTTATCACGTTGCATTTGAAGTAGGTGAAGCGCAAAATCATCGTGTCGAAGTTCAACAAGATGCAAATGCATTTCCACTATTCCCAAGACAAGAACAAGCTCGACAGCCAGTTAATGCAATATGGATTCCTCCTCGTAATAATAATCTCAACAATGAGCCGCAACAAAACAATAACGATAATCCTGGTGTGAACCAACCACTTGTTAATAACGCACCAATACCACCACCTATTAATCCAGTCCAACCTTTAGTTAGAAGAGATCCCAATCAAGATCCACCCGTTGCTCCATTGTTTAACGAGGCGATCGACGCCCCTGTTGGTGGAATGCAAAATTTCAATCAATTTGGAGAAGCAGACGATGAAGAAGAAAATGTTGCTAATGAAGACCTCGAAGGAGTTCTTGAGGCAATTGGAATGAGAGGATCTCTATGGATGTTGATACAGAATTCGGCGTTGATGGCTCTCCTAATTGCTTTGTGCCTGGGGTTGTCGATTTGGATACCTTATATAGTGGGAAAACTTGCCCTTTTGGTATTTTTATTTTATTATGCTATATTCATGTTCTTTATTTTGCTCTGAACTAATATTATTTATCTCTATAGTCAAATCCTTTCTATCTGATACAAGGACCTTTATGGTTATTACGACGTGTTACAGACCCATTAGTTGATCTCACCATTGATACCGCATTACCTTGGATATGGTCAATTATATCACCTATTCTGAGATCCGGATGGGAAACTTCTAGTCCCTTCGTTTATCCCTATCTTGAAGATCTTGCCATAGTTGAACCTTTACAAACCGTGGCCAGTAAATCTTGGGAATATTTCTTGTATGCAATGTCTCTTACAGCACAAATCGCTCCTACGACATCGGAAAAAATCGTCACCAATAATGCTACTTTAATAAGCTCAGAAAATGAAATTTCACAATTAGTCCAACTTGATTATATAAATTTAGCGTTTAAATTCATTCAACGGTATAATGAATTTGCATATGGAAATAAACCAGTCGACAAAATTATCTGCATAATTTTCGGATACACAATTGTCATATTGGTGAGCACTTGGTATCTTGCCAGAACCAGAAACGCCTACGGTAGGACAGTTGGGCGTGCAGTTCAAGAAGCTTTAAGACAGCAGGGCATAGTATTAAAGGTAAAAGCTCGGATTCACTTAAAAAAAACACTAAATATTCGTCTTTATATACACTGAATATTTATATATTTGACATTTTAAGGTGGCTTTCTTTGTGGCGATAGAATTAATCATTTTCCCAATAATCTGTGGAATCCTATTGGATTTTTCAACTTTACCACTATTTCCCGACGCGACTCCTTTAACTCGCTTCAACTTCTATCTGGAGTCTCCATTCACTTCAATATTCCTTCATTGGTTTATTGGAACCGGTTTTATGTTCCATTTCGCAGTGTTTGTCGCCGTATGCCGTGAAATTGTGCGCCCAGGTGTAATGTGGTTTATCCGAGATCCGAATGATCCGCAATTCCATCCTATCAAAGAAATACTAGAGAGACCTGTGTTAACACAATTGAAAAAAATAGGAGCAAGCGGAATTATGTATAGTGCAATGATTGTCTTTGGTCTAGGAAGTGTCATTTATTTTGTTCGCTATGCATTTGTTTCAATATTGCCATTACGATGGTCACTCACGTAAGTTTTCACAATTATTTATTCGAATATTTTAGTTACAAGTTACATTTCCAATAAATAATCAAATTCTATGGTACTGGGAATACTGATAGTTTTATCTCCTTTAGCGAGCCAATATCCGATTTCCCACTTGATCTTTTAGTCTTTCATATTGTTGTTCCAGTTACGGTCGATTGGGCTAAACCACGCGAGCTATTTCGAACTCTCTTTGAAAAATGGTGGCATGTCGCTGCACAACAATTACGCTTAACTTCTTTTATGTTTGGAAACCGATACCCTGAAGAAGAAGGCACTCACTATCGCAAGACATGGCGTGCTCTCTTACTCGGACAAAAAGCTCCTATACCACGACTGGGCATAGATACAGATAACAATAACAACGAGGATCAGAATGCTGAAGTTGTATTCGTTAAAGATGGCGGATTTGTTCGTGCCCCAAGTTTTGATGGAGTACCTGTAGTGCCTGGAAGACGAATGCTTATACCTGTGACTGAACAAGGAGCATTACTAGATCCTAATGACGCTCCTGTCGGCGAGGATGATCAGTTACACCATACCGTTGTATATGTTCCACCCAGTTTCAAAGCACGTGTGATATTTTTCTTGTTTTTAATGTGGCTTTGTGGCTCAATATTCTGTTGTTCTGTGACAATTTTACCTTGTAAGTGTTCTTTCTTGCTTTCCCGATAATTATTTCAAATTTGACATTAATAATAAATATTTTATTACTTAATTATAGTGCTCATTGGTCGATTCATATTCCAAACTTTACTACACTATCAACAACCTGTTCATGATCTCTACGCTTTCACAGTTGGCCTGTATGTTATGTGGACATTGGGTGTTGGCATGGAATGGACTATTCGTAGATTCCAAATATTAAAAGAACAGCGAATTTGGGAAATTGATTGGCTAGTATTGCGAGGGAAATTGGTCACCGGAACCCGAATATGCTCAAAGATTTTGTATCTATTTGTCGCTTTTGGCATAATCATGCCATTTCTTTTCTCATTGGTTATCGAACTTTATTTCATTCTTCCATGGAAGAAATACAGTGCAGAACCACAACCAATTTCTTTCCTACAGGTGAATTTTATATGAGATTCCTCCTTAAAATTTCGAAATTCGGTTCTAATAATATATTATTTAGGATTGGGCATTGGGTATCGTATACATGAAGATTGCATATCGGATTGTATTCATGTTACCGGATAACACATTTAGTCGGACAATTAACGAAGTAAGCTTTCAAAATTTTTATTATCTAAAAATGTTGTATCCATATTGATAATGTTTTGTGGCATATTACCCTGCAAAAAAAGATTACTGGACGAGGTATTCGAAACCTTGACGTCAAATTGGCAACGAATATGTTTATTCTTCCAATCGGAGGAATTGGTCTTGTGGCAGTTATCTTGCCAGCATTAAATGCTTGGCTGATTTTGTTCGTAGCCGGTAAATTTTATTTTTATTTATTATTTATTATCGTATTATTGTAATTATTTTCAATTCTCACACATCATATTAATTCTAGGTATAGGGTCGCGCGAAACACAAACACTCATTTTCAGACTCATATATCCGTTATTCTTGGCATTTGTGGTCGGCTACCGTATTCAAAGACAAGCTACACAACTCATACAGAATTGGATGCAGACAGTGCGAGATGAAGAATATCGTATAGGACTTCGATTACATAATATAGAACCAAATGAACCAGCTACAAATGTACCAGTATCATCATCCTCAAATACTAACAACGACGACAATCCCATTCCTCAAAATGCTGGTTAAAAAATAAAAGGATCCAAAGTTTTCTGCTAGAACACTTCCCCCCCCCCCCCCAGTATTACTACATCTTTGTATCATTGTATCAACTCTATCTTTCTAGCCTCTCTTCCATACGTACATACATACATACATATGTAGAGATTTGAATACAGTAGTTAGATATTTATAAATATATTATATGTTTGCATTTTTAAAAAATAAAAATTTCTGGATGTATTATTCGTATTCCATCTAATATTCATAAATTTGCCAATTCAGTTTTTGTTTAATCATCAATGAAAAATCCCATACGTTTTATATCAATCACATAATATTCAACTAAGTTGGCAATATCCAAAGTTCTCGGATACAATTTACCACTCACACTGAATAAATCTATACAGTTTGTGTGATGATGTTTTTTGCCAAATTATATGTCAATTAAAACGTAACCATATTAATATTACCACACCACTCACTATCAGCACAAACACGAATTAGTAAGTGGTGAACAAGTGCAAGAAAATTTATCTAAGAAGCAAAGAAACGAGAAAAAAACAAGAAAAAAATACTAAGAGAAAAAAAGAAATCATATATATTCTTATTTGATGATTGATGATATACTACAACGCGAAAAAGCGTGAAATTGAAATATAATAAAATGCAAACAAACCACATCAGTAATTTCATTATGTATGAAATCATGATTGATTAATTAATTAATGAATTCCGAACATTGTTTTTTTTAAAGAAGACAATCTTTTTGAACATTCACAAGAGAGGCTGCGCCTATTCCATTTCTTAATGATTCTCTAACGGTGACTGAAGCTTGGCGGTAAATTATTTCCAAAGGTGGAATCGGCGGTTTTCCCTCTGATACTTTATTATATATATGCATTATTAATAAATACATACTCGGATAAATATTAATTTCATAATTATGAAAGTCTAACAAACCTAATATGGCGCTATTTAAAGAATTCGCAACTGGTTCCCGGTGAGCAGGATCTAAGAGATAAGACATTACACTTGTGGTAGGATCTGAATAGGCTAACAGTGAAAAGGTTTCCTGTAAAAAAATTTAAACATTTTAGCACTAAATATTAGGTAATTTATAGAATATCAAGAACAAAAAAATTACCCTTAAGGTTGATTGTATTTCTTCACGACTATCGTGCCGGTAATCATCTTCCAATTCTTGCCCAAATCTCATCGCTTCTTCGTACTTTGAGCTACTACTATTAATATTATTATTACTATTACCATTATTAAACCCATTACCGGTCGGCCTCCGTTTTTTCGTGGTCTTTCTTTTTCTATTTGCTGAAGGATGATTATCTTCATACTCTTCCATCGATCCATCTGCATCACTCTCTGAAGCATTAAATTCATCCACATCCATAGCGTCTTCATATTCATCATCGTCATCATCCTCCTCCTCCCCTTCCTCCTGGTCTTCCTCTTCTTCCTCTTCGTCTACTTCTTTATCACCCTTTTCGTCTTCACGCATTACTATTTCTATTTCGGTCTCCAACTCGTCGTTATCGTCGTTATCGTCGTCATCATCGTCCACCATTGTGTCAATTGTATCAGCCCTGACAATTTTGTTAACCTCAACTTCCTTGGTTGGCGATTGACGATAACCAGAACAATTGGCGATCATTTCTACGAATTTGCGACAACGTAATTTGAAAAATATGTCATGATTTGAGGGTAGAACCTTGGGATAAACTATGTTTGTTAATCTGACAGCGTGATCAATGTCGCCCTTGAGGACGGCATGACGAATTTCTAAACAAGAAATCAAGTTATTATTATTTAATATATATATATATATATATAATGAATCGACTTTTTTATTTACTCTGTCGATTTAACATGTCCCCGTCTATATCAGAAGAAGAATCTTCAATCTCCATTCCTTCCGTAACAATGGAATCATTTATCGAAAGCTGCACAGCATCCTTAGAGAAAGCTTTAGCCGTTTCACTGAACCCATGATGTACAAGATACGACATAATAAGTTGATGTATTGTCGCGGTTAAATTTGCTTCTGATGCAGCGTGTGATACAGGGGTCGGCGTGGTAGAGAAGGCGGAGGTGATGTTAGTATTGTTAGAGTTTATTGCTGCAACAGCACCTAGAGAAGGGGTTGATAAGGGAGGTATTGGTCCAGCATTGATAAAATTCCATAGCCGAGTTTTTTCTTCCTATGATTTCGAACTTGATCAGGGATATGTTTTCGTAGTTAAAGCTGAGCAAAGTAATATAGCTTTACCCATTCAACCGACCAACCTTCATATATAGCTTGATTGGGAACTCGAAATCTCGTTGACCGAAATTCACTTGTATTTTTTCACCAGGAGTTCGCAACCCTATCGAAGGGTAAAGAATGCCTTTCAAATCTCTGAATGCAATCCCTTTATAAAATAATCATTCAAATAGAAATTAATGTATATTTCATAATTAAGAAAATAATATATAGAGAGAGGGAATTCAACTTACCCAGATTCACTCCACCCTTTGTATAAAATGCAGTGCCATCACGGAAGTTGATACAACATCCGATAGTGTCTCCAGTTGTAAATTTTGGGCCATAGGTTTTGCCCGTACCCGAACAACAAAAGGAATTACCATCATCACCATGATAGCCCCACGATTGCAGTTCCCAACCTGTAAGAAATGTGGATAAAATATTTTGCAAGTTACCGGCTAAAAACGAAGTGAAAAGTTATGAAATAGATTTTCACCTGGCAATCGCATTAATTGCACATTTTTACCGCAGAATCCAATTCCAATGAACCTATTGTTTGAAATATTATAATATTCAGTGTTCTTAGTAATAAGAAATCTTGATCGAGCTATGAATGAATTATTACCCTTCTTTTCCCTTATTTATAATATCAACTTCGAAATAGAACACTCCACATTGAGGAGGTATCGGATAATTAGCTCTAATAGCAGCTGCATCCGTATCTGCTTTTCCAGTACCTGATAAATATAAAGATGAAGCGTAATTAGTCTAACACTGATATGAAAAAACAAAATTTAATCTCGAGAAAATCCAAAATATGAAATTAAGCCTAAAAGTTATTACCTGCATAGCTTACACTTAGTTTATCAGCAGACAGCTCTAAGAAGTTACACTTATCATCAGCACTCCACGCTGTAGGTAAAGCTACAAGTTCACCAGGATCTTTATCGTTGTTTGCGCCATTTAAAGCAAAGGCTTCTGTACTAACAGAATTATACAGCTCTGCAAAGCTCGTGTCAGCCAGGTAATTAGGGAGCTTCGGTTTCGAGGGAAGCATGTTTGATTGCTTGTTCAAATTCGACAAACTTGATTGCGATGAGGTACCACTCGAGGAGGAAAAGGCAGCTTGGTTTGGAGAATTAAGAGATTGAGAGCGTGTACCTGAAGCAAGAGAACTAGCTATTGAAAATGAGTAGGTAGGAGTGTTATATTGGCGCCAAGTAGGCCCACCGGACAATAATGATAAATGTGTACTATTATTATTATTCATTGAAGCAATTCTCCGATCAGAGATCGAAGAAGAAGAGGTATTGGTCATGCAGTGACAGAGAGTTAATTACAAACTTTAATTTTAAGAGATTTGTTGGAAATAGATATAACAGTAGAGTATAAATAAACCTTTAGTAACAAGACAGACAGATGTTAGAAATCCATGACATCACATAAAAATCATCTGTCAAAATATAATTAATTACCTGGTTTGGACAAGATTCAAGTCAACACCGATTTTTTCTCAGACTATCGGATCCGGCTTATTTTGTGGAAGATGGCAAGATCTCGAAAACGCCAAAGCGATCTAATTGTGCACGCTCCTAACGCTTTTAGGAAGAAAGCTAGGAAAGCTAAAACAGTAGCTCAAGAAATTGAAGAAGTCGACACACCTTCAACTAGTGAAAAAGCTAAGGGAAAAGGAACAACTGAAGATGCTGATAACGTTACAAATGAAGAGGATATAATCACTAATCTTAATTCAAGAACTAAAAGAACTCGACTTTCTAAAAACAAAGTAGTCAGTTATACTCAATTGGAAAATTCGGCCGACGAAGAAGCTATTTCAACAAAAGATAAAACAAAATCTGATAAAAAAAAATCTAATTCGAAATATGAATTTCCTCGTGGGGATCTGGCTGAATCATTTGATGATGAATGGGAACAATATCTTGTGGCTCTTAAATCTCGTCTTTTACAACCGACTGGGATAGATTTTAACGCGCTTCCCAAAAATATTTATCCGAATATAAGAGTTGCAATGAAGGATATTGAAATTTTGCCGTCAGAGTGAGTAAATTTCGAAACATCAAAATATTAATCAATAAATTCTGTTACTGATTTTTCTTTAATAATCTCTTTAGAGAAGGGAAAAAATATCTGTCATATAAAAAAGATCCTCAGTCCATAATAATAGGTTCTAAAGATAATAATCCAATAACATTACCACAATACGAGTCGACCTCTTTTCGTGAGTCTTGTCCTTTTATTTTCTCATTAAAAGTCATGAATTTTCATTCAATTAAAATTGCATTTATATTAAGATGATAAACTCCCTCGTCGAATTGGATACATTCTCAATTTTGGTGGATCTGTTTGGAGTGTTGAATGGTGTCCTTCGATTTCATCTGCAAGTAGATATGATTTTTTTAACAATTCATAAATTTATTTTTATATACATTTCTCTCTCAATATATATATTAAATACCTAAATATGATGATGGCTTTAGAACATCAATACTTGGCGATAGGAGGATATAAAAGTACTGCAGATGAAAATCGTATTATCGGAGAAATACAAACCAAAGAATTGGAAAACTCTATACAAATTTGGAAACTGGATTGTAGGAATAACGACCAATCAGAAAAACCAATTTTGGATATGGTTATTTGTCATGAATATGGTTGTGTCTATGACATGAAATGGTGTTTTTATGGGGCTTATGAGGTGATGATATATATATGCTTTATTTTTCTGTTTTATTACAATAATCAACTTAATCTTTATTAAACATATAGAATTTCGATGAAAACGAGTTTAGCATGGATTTGAAGCGATTGGGTCTTCTCGCTGTTTCATTTGGCGATGGAAAAATCAGGATTTTTGAGGTGCCTCATCCTGAATGTATAAGACAACAATTAAAAATGAAGGAAAAAGCTTCAAGCACCCTTTTTGGTATTATGAAGTTCTTTTTTCAATAACAGGGTTTATCTTTAAATATTTAGATTAGTTAATATTATAAATTAATTACAGTGAAGTTTACTCGGCCATTATGTACATTGTCAATGCCCGAAACACTTTGTTGGACTATTAGTTGGGGAGGACACACTAAAATTGCCGCTGGATGCACCAATGGTATTATTTTGTTTTGATTAGTTTTCGATGTAAATATATTTGCTGTATTTATTTGTAAATTTGCTTTATTAGGTATCGTGGCGGTTTGGCGTTTAGATAAAATCTTCGCAGAATGGGAAAATAAAGGAGGAATTGTAAGCGAAGAAAGTGAGCAGATAATATTTTTAGATCGCCATAAAAAATATATTTTAAAGACAACATATTTCCTCGTAAAATATATAGCTCTCGTCCCTTCGCTTCACGTTACTGCACATAATTCTTATATACGTCATATAACTTGGAACTCGATCGACAATCCTACGCATATTATGACTTGTGGTCATGATGGAAAATTGCAAATGTTTGAAGAACGAGATCCATGGATAAAACATCTATTCCAAAAAATTCGATGTAGGAATATTATTTTTTATTATGAACATCATTTCAAAATATGATATTAATTTCTGGAAACAAAAAAGTAATTATTCTTTTTTTGCATATAGCTTTTATGATAACTTTTACATGGGCAGCCCACTATAACGTCATTTATTTTGCTGATTCTGAAAATTCAATAAGATTTATTCAAATGGAAGATCCTAAAAAGACTACTGGTGGTCTGATACTGCATCGTGGCTGTGTCTGGGTGAGTGGAAATTTGTCATCTAATGCCTCACCTTTGTTACAGTCGTCCCCCCTATGTAACCCTCCCCCAAAGTCACACCGTTCAATGCGACCCTTAAATAAAAAACCCCCTATATAAGCACGCCTCCCTATAGTCACACCATTATCGGGTCCCGAGGAGTGAGACTATAGAGGGAGACGACTGTATCACATTTTGTCAATACAGTATTTTTCTCAGTGATATCCCCCTCGTAATAGGGAAGCACTTCGTCTTACTTCCATCCTTTTATTGCATCTTGCGCTGCTGACGGAATGGTCAAAATTGCAAATATTTGTCGTTTGAGGGATCGGCATCAAGTAAGCAAAAGAGCCTTATATTGGCCATTATAATTCCTCCACGGCTTATTGTGTATGTTTAATTAATATATTAGAGACCTGTTCAAGTTACTGTTTATCGGCTCACTTTCGATGGAAAAGAATACAGATACTGGGATAATATCAAAGCTGAGGTAAATAAAAAATTTTACTTGATCCACAAAATTTCTCACTATCTCTCCTTAAATCTGCAGGAAACCACGTTTAACAATCTGACCTATGAAAATATGCTTGCCCCAAAATTTTCCCCTGAGGAAGCCATCCAACGAGTAATTTCGTTAAGTTTTTCGCATGTTTCTAGCAATTTATTATCTAAATTAATTTTTATAATTATAGGTTTCATGGTGTCCTAATAAGTGTGCAGGGGTATGGTTAGCTTCAGGAGGCGCTGGAGGGTTGGTGAGGATTGATTGTACTGAATGGGAATAATTATGTCGTATTCCGATAAAACTTTGAAAGGTAATGTTGTATATAACCACATCACTTTTAGTAATTTCAAAATCCACAGAATGGTGTTTTATTAAAAGTATGCTTCAATGTTCAAATAATTTACTCGATAAAAAAATATCGCGTACTTTTTAATAGGATATAATTAAATTATAACTATCAAGCTATAAATATCGAGTAAATTTTCACTACTGCCGTTTTCTCTGTCGCATAAATTCCTCCACCAAGCCTTGATACATTTCATCATGTAATCCTTTGACTCGTTGATAATGCTCGTGGATGCGTAATAGCTCGAACTGTAGTTCGGAAATTCGCGAGTTAAGTGTGACTGCTGTGTCGCGAGACTAAGAAATGGAAAAAGTTGAGAATATGGAAGAGTAGTTAGTTTTGAATAATCAAATTCAATTATTAAATAGATATAATAATAGGGAAATTTAATAATGAAATGTGATTTCCTCTTCTTACCTGTAAATCCTTTAACGAGAGTTTAGCATTCTCGATATCATGGTATTCTGTAGAGAGGATACTCGCTTGGCTATTAATATCAGAACCAATAAACGAATCTATATTCTCATTCGAAGAATTGAGTAAAACAGTAACCACATCATCTGAATTCTCTAAAAGTCGATCAGGAAAAGATGACTGTTGTTGGACTTTCTTGAATGGTGATATATGGGGTATTGGTATTTTATTTGATGCTGTTACAGAGGAGCCTATCGTAGAAAGTTCGGGTGGCTTAAGAAAAACCGAAAGATTCGTTACTGGTCCTGAATAAATATAGAAATATACTTTTTTTGATTAAAAAGATAATAATAATAATAATAACAAAAAATAGTAAAATAGATTTATCTTTTACCTTTGTGATATGTAAACGTTTTTAACATTTGTCGACTGGCAATATCCCAAATTAGTACAGTTCCATCCTCGGATGCTGATAAGAGAATAGTAGAATCATATGATAATGTAATCGCGGTAATTCCAGCACTACAATAATCCCAACCCAAATGATATTTAAATACACAATTAATATGATAATATCAATTAATATAAACTTACCTATGTCCACGAAACACTAATCCCAATCCTCCTTTAGTATTATTATAATTATGGCCTTCAAGAGCAACACCTTCAACAGCTCCACCACCATCAACAGACTCAACCTCCCTATTATTTGTTCTAGTGGAAATGGCAGAATTTGGATTGTTTGGTTGATATCCACTTATTTCTCGCTCACGAAACAAATTCACCTGGTATATTAAGTTATTGTCACCTCCACCACTAACACTACCACCAGCAGCAAAGAACATTCTTTCTGCGGGCTCAAAAGCAAGACACGTGATGTTTGTAGGAAATATGAAAGTTGTCAACAGAGATCCTGTTAATAGATCCCATAACTATACTTTTTTAACATTGGAAAATTATAGTTTATTGATTTAAAAAGAATCGTCAATTTTAAAGCAAAAATTCCGCAATTTATATTTAAAGTTTACAATTACACACCTTGCACGTATTATCCAATGACGAGGTTAACACTCTCGAAGTATGAAAATTACCAATGCCACATACTATATCGGTAATTGGTAATGAATGTGATGACCACGAATAATACGAAGATATGAGTGATTCTTCGGTCGATTCGTCAAGAATACTTTGATAATTGAAAAGTAAAGATTCTAAGAAAAAAAGAAAAATCTCTTTCAAATGATGCATAAAAACAAACCTGCATAATAACCAAACATTCACAACAGCATCATCACTCCCGGATATTAAAGCCACATCATCGAAAGTAAATTTCAGGATATTAACTTTTCTGTAATGTGCATCAAAGACTTTGCACAATTTTCCTGTTGATAGCTCAAATGCAAAGTAAATACCATATTAATATATTTTCCCAGAAAATTTACTATTTTATTGTGATGATTGTGATGATAATAATAATAGATAGTCAAAATACCTCCCACACGTAAATTTTTCCTTTTTCGGTACCTCCTGCACAATATGACCCTTTATTCGAGATAACGAGTGAAACAAGTTTATCGGGACACACCAATTTTTGATAAATTTGTTCCTTTGTCGAGATTTTATTTATTAACATATACACTCAATATGTTAAAGATAAAGAACAAAGCTTTTTACTTTTTGCCACGAATAAGCATGTATCAGGGGTTTATCGGTTTGTGCTGCCAATACTAAGCCTATTCTATCCGACTGTCCTGGAAACGGCAATAATGCCATACTATTTTTCGGAGATACATTCTGTCTAAATGAATATACAAGTGTGCTTGTTCTGAAATCCCAAACTTTTATCGTCGAGTCTGTTGAGGAACAAGAAATTGCTAGTTCTGTTAACATTTTATTTTTTATTGCAACATGCAAATAAATTTTTACATCTTGATGGTAAAGATGGAAGTCATGTGATTTGTGTTCTGTGATTTAAATTTACTCTGCATATCGATATCATTACTTTAAGTTGTTTGGTCGAAGGTGAAGACCCTTATAATGCTTTCAATGTTAAAATTGACAAGACAGAAACAGTTAGTGAACTCAAGAAAGTTATAAAGATTCAACAACCGCATACTTTTGCTCATGTTGATTTCAAAGACCTTCAGTTGTGGAAAGTTGACATTTCTTTCGACGAACCAAATGAGAAACTGAGTGTACTTAACAACAGGACATGTGTTGTAATCAAAGAACGACTAGGAGGTGTGAAGATGCGTTCGCTTTTGAAAATTAATACATATTTTCCTGACGTACTCGAAGAAGGGCATATCCACATAATGGCGGAACGCCCACCTAGTAAGTGAATCGTAATATTTCCTTTCACATTACTAATATTTCCTGTGAACAACTATTTTTACTAGTTATAATCACAGAATCTTTTTGGTCTCGACTTTTTTCGCGTTAAAATTTAAACGTGACAATTATTTATTATTACGAATTAAAGCTGGATCGGATCATATCCGGAAAATTAAAATGTCTTCAACAATAATACAGAACAGGACAGCATAAGATATCCAATTTTAATTGTCTTACAAAAAGTGTTATAACTTTTGGCTAAATTGTTAAATAAAAAAATCCTCTTTCAAATTGATAGTTTGTAAGTAAAACTATATTTTTGAATGAGTAATTTTTTTGATTTGTATTTTTGATGGTTTAAATTATACATGTAGTAAAATTAAATTCATTATGGCTGAATTAATTCGGCCAAATAATTATAATATATAGATTATATTCCTATTAATTTGGAAATTGTATTATAATTGGATAGTATTCTAGCTGTGGCAAAAAAATGTACTGTTCACGTGATATTGGTCGGATCCAACCAATAAGAATGTGCAAAAATTCTGCGCAACCAATAGGAATGTAGCAAATTTTTGATCAACCTGGCAAAAACAAATCCAGTACAAAAAAATAAAAAAAACAAAAATGTGAAAAATACAGAAAATAAATATCAAAATCTAGCTTGACATATTATTAAAAAATATTAAAAAGATAATTTTATATATAATTTTGATCTCAACTCTAACCCTAATACTAATATTTGATATTTAATATTTAATAAATCTATTTCAGATTACATGAATGATATATTTTTTTTGTTACAACTAGGATATTAATAATTGTAAATTATATTATAATTGAAAATTATATTATTTTTTAAATTGTTTATTTTAGTAAGAAATTTGCTTACTAATTTGATTGTATTAATACTTTTATTTTGCATATTATTTTTATCTAATTCAAGAAAATTCAGTTTAATATTCATAATTAGAATAATAATATACAAAAAGAATGACATATTATGAAAATATTTAATAAACATAAAAAATAAAATATTATAATTTATCTAATGATTGTAATATATAAAAGATAAGAATAATTATAATATATAAATAAGAATATGAATAAAAATTGGTAGTTATTCATCATTCTTTTAAATATATTATTAAAATTAATATATTTATATAATTAATAATCTTATTTTGATATAAGTATTGTAATTTGAATAATATTCTGTACTTAAATATCAGTATTTACTATATGAGTAAATTTATTAGTATTTATTACATATTGTTATGATATGAATATTTAGTTCTTATTTTATTGGTTAATTCATATCATAAATTTAATTGGATGATATTTTAT